GCTGCAGAAGCGCTAAGCTTGATCGAGGATTTCCATACTAAGGGCTTTCGACCGTCGATACCGTTGCTCAGAAATGTCTTGAAAAATTTTGCCGAGACCGACGATCTGCTTTCCATGCGTAAGCTAGAAGGAATGCTGCACCCTACGGAATCCAGACCCTTGAGGATTTCTCAGGCCATTCTAATGGCTTCCATTAACAGGTACTTTTCGCGTCAGTCTCTCAAGTTCATGTCCAGTTGTTGTCGGTATCCATCGAAAATGCACGATGACATAAAATGAATGAGATCAACAAACCACTGATATACGTTTAAAAAAGCCTTGTTTTGTGTGAGCGTTCCCGTCCGTTTCACTGCCATGCATACCACTGCTTCGAAAAGGATATAGGATGATCTTCTATGTGTGTATTTTGCATCTGACATTGTCCTTTAGGCTTGCACTTTTCTAGCGTTATAAGCCAGAAAACAAATCACGTACATGCTCCTTGACTCCATCGAAATTGCTATAGCAAATTTGTGTACTTTAGCCGTTGAATCTTTTTTGGCTGAAAAAACAGTATGCGAATATTGAGTTTAACCCATTTGTTTACACAGTCTGGAGTAATGGCCAAACCTTCGTCAGTTAGTTAAATTCGATGACCGCATGTCATTTCGCGTCTCAATACATGCGCTTCAGACAGTGTCTCCAGCGCCCTCGATACTGTGGCTGTGTTTGATCTTCGGCAGAAGATAACCTGACTTTATCTGTCCAACTATTACTTTTCATTGTGGAGATGCAGCGGCTGTACACCAAGGCCCTCTCAAATATCTTGATGCATGGTGCCAACGATTCGTCTAGGAAGGACCCTTGTATCCAAGATGAAGTTTTTCAGCCATGGCCTACGATTCTTGACAACACCTGAGCATGTTAATCAAGATCGATTTGAATAAAGGTAGCTTAATCTTCAGACTCACGTCCACTTCCGTCACAACGTTTAAGTACTTAAAGTAGAACGCCGCTCGCTGGCCATTCCAGTTCAGCGGTCGATCTCTTCCAGTTTTCATCACCACTACGGTACGTGAACTACTCCACCTTTTCCATTGTTTATTTGATTAACTGCAGAACGGAAATGGCAGGAGCATCTGAAGTCTCTAGGCTTTTCGTATTAGGTTTGTTCATGCGTATGCCATCCTCGTAGCGATTGGCAGCGATATTTTTTCAAGGAGTGTTTTAGGTCAGTTTCTGAAGACGCCAATAAGGTAAGGTCGCCCGCAAACATCAAACTTCCCATCTTCACATCTCATACACTGAAACATTCATTCCCCTGGCTTCACCTCACTATCTTATCCATGTATAACACAAGTTACAACTACTGGACAGCTAAAGAGTCAGTTTGCATGTCATACGCCAGTACTAGGATCTTTTGAGACAACCGTGCGATGTTCTTGCAAGTTTTGCCATCGTATCCGCAGATGATAATGTTTCTCATTTGATTGCCTGGTTGCTTGTGACGCCAAATGCGGTGAATGCCAACAACAAAGCGGCGATCGATTACCAGCTCACGCGAACACCCATTACAGATCTGTCACAAGATGCGATTACCAAATGGATAATTGACTTCTGTGCCTATACCTTATACAAGGTATACTGATGCATGCTTCATTGCTCGAAGAAAGTATTAATAATGGATGGTCCGTTGTTTGCATATAACCGCAACTTTTTCTTGCCGTTATTGTTGAGGTCGTTACGGCTGATTTTCCCAGTCACACTTTCTACTTTTCAGTGATTGCTCCGACATGCTCATTGAAATCGTTTTTTAGAATGATGAATCACATAATGTGCACTTCGTAGAAAGCACGTCCTACTTCCTCCAGGAAGTATTTATATTCTTCTCAACTGGGTGCCCTGTAACAAGATGAAGGGTTCAGCAGTTGTAACTTACATCAGACAAT